ATAAAGTTTAAAAGGGTGATTTGTAAAATATCCATAAATAAAAAGTAAATCTGTTAACAGGTCTGTTTCAAATGGGTGTTGAGAGATGTATCCATAGATCTCGTCATTTTGCTCTCAAAGTGCACCAGATTGATGCTTTTAACTTAAATATTTAAAAATAAATATTCCCGGGGGAACTTGCCCCCGGAAACCCCTATGCGAGGTCCACGCACCACCTATAAAAATAGCACTTTACCCCTGCTTATATGCCAGCTGATTATCGAGCCTTCATTGTAACAGTCGCGGTTACACTGTGTATTTGCGTGGGGAGTGTTGCAGTAGAAAATTCCACTGTAGCGCCCGGTACATTAATGGGAAACCCTAAATGTTTGAGCACCCTCTATGAAACGTCAAGCTACCCCACAGCACCCCCAAAATAAATCTCTGGCGCTGCCACTGAGCCTGACTATTTGTGTTGGGGGGGCCCGACTTTTTTTTTTCTCCAAAGGGGGGGCCTGACAGAAAAAGTTTGAGAACCACTGAGTTAAGGTAACGTTAGTAACTGAACGTAGGAGTAAAAGTCCATAGGCATATGTAAAATATTAGTGCTTTCAAGGTATTAAGTAGTAGTAAATTGATTGGTGAACTGTTAGCTGAATTAGCTAAGTTACCTAGCTAACTATGAAGCATGTGTTGCTAGCTAACCTTAACCTCACTAATGGGGTATGTAAAAATTAAGCTAGCTAACGTTAACTACTCTCAGATAAATAAACTGTCTGTAAGGAACACACAATTAGCCGACGTTAATATCATAGTTTTATTTTGGTATTCAGTAATTGTATCTGTTAAAAACTAGCAGCTAGTTAAAAACGCAAAGGGTGGTGGTAGACTAGCTAACGTCGACCTAGCTAGTTCATAGTGAATCACAGCAATTTTACTATTTAGTGTCTGATGCCTTTTTAATGTGATTTTTTGGGGTTGATCTTTAAAATGACAGTGGCCGTCTTTTCCTGTAAATTACAGATTGCTTCTTCATGGTGAGATGGATAAATTCGATGACACAACTGTGTCACTCTTAAAAGGTAAATCTCTTGTTAATTATGTAGACATCTAACATTAGTGCATATCTTTAGACATATCCAGACTGATAATTCCCTAATATGGGCTCTTTGCAAATAGTTGTGGTCTGTTGCTGAAATGGCCAACCAAGACTCATTCCTTTACTTACTTTACCAGTAGCACTGATATACATTTAACTTATAAGGGCAACATAATACAAATGGTGTTGGACACATGTTTTTGGTAAATGATCTGCTCTCACACATTACAGCTGCAAGTGTTACCAATGAGCTATTACCCTCATTAACACGGGAAGACCTGAGGGACCTCCTACCGGGGCCAGAGAACTTCCTCAGACGAAAGTGCATTTGGGAAGCAGTGCATCCAGAGGTAAAGATGTATTGTGAATGAATGAGGTGTATTGGACTTAAAATATAAATAAATGGAAACTTCATCTAAAATACATGATTTCACAATGGGCGCTAGAAATGTACATGAATAGCATTTTTTCTTAATAATTTCTAAAATGATCAAATTGATTCTGTGGTGACATAAATCAGTCATCAATCATATGGAGGCATTTATGAGTGTTTCATCAGATATTTTTCTATACTTTACCTAATAAATTACACTTACATTTTTACGTATATATTTTTATTTTAGATTAGGGCTGCTCATCTGATTGTAGTCATCACCTCCAACTGAACTGCTTTCATTTCTACATAAACATTTCCCCCCTTACGTGTTAAGGCAATGCAGCCTGTAATAGGCTAGCAAAATCACTGCATTTCCACAGAAATAGGCATACTATGTTTTAGTTCTTTAAAATGTGTTCCAACTGTGCCAACACAAATTCTTAAGTAGCCAGAAGTACTAAAGAAAGGACCAAAACAATTCCACACATTACAGCAAGGTAGTTCAAACTAATACTGTCCCCTACTGCATCCAAAATCACAACTTTCTGGTTTCATTGATAACAATGTTATATATACGTTTTTTTTCCAATTGTGAGGTGGTTATTATTATTATTATCCCATCTATCTGGTTTCATTGGGATAGTTACAGATAGTACAGTAAGACAATGTTACATACATATTCTTTCAATAGCGAGGTTATAATAATTATATCGTTTGTCATTATTATTAATGACAATAATAATCATTTGAAAGTTTTGCTTTTGGTCTAGACTTTTTGACTTGTGATTTTGTCACCATGAGGAACATTTTGATTTCTGATGTTTTTGTGCAGGAGAGCTCAACTTCAGCAGTGTCCGTAAGTCCTGCAGGGAACCAGACGAGCCTAGCCCAGACGTCTTCACCAAAACATGTGACTCCTAAAAAGATCATGAAAATAAGCAGTCCAGACTATGTCGTTTACACAGATGCAGAGCTGGAGCAAATCCGCAAGTATTATTTTGAGCTGCAGCGTCACGGGAGAGCACACCACTGCACCATGTCCAAAGAGCTCAGGTGCCGCTTGGTCAGAAACACCATGACAAGCATGATTGCGATCCTTAGGGCTAATGACATGCAGGACAGGGGAGACTCAGAGTATCCCTCTCGTGAAGAGGTGTCTGCCATGGCCAAAAGGTTGATTGAGTACTATCCTGTGCTGCAAGATAAGGATAAGACTAAACAACCATGGGTAGGTTCTTAATTTTCAGTCTCAAAAGTCATTTTCTTCTCTTGATATTTACTTTTCATAAGCACAACAATATTGTCAGCTAATTGAAGTTATCTTTTTTAAACTTTAAATATACACATCTTTGATATCTAGTGTTCAAGGTCAAAATTAACATTCTTTTCCCATATGCCCAAAGTGGATAAAGTGAATGAATTTACCGACCAAAGATATTTTGACTTGCCCAAAAACTGCATTATGCATTATTTCATAAAGAAATGTTTCCTTAAGTTTTAGTATCGAAGCCTTAACTTGTAAAGATAAGATCAGATCTATAAAACTTTTATAAAAAAACTCAATTTTAACAATCAATTCTGTATACGGTACAAAAACACATACTTTGCCTTTTTCACATTATATGTCCTAAATCTCAATGAATAGCTGACCCCCTCACTTTAATCATTGTTTTCCTCATACCTGTTTGTTGGCTTAATACTAGTAATGTGTCACCACATTTCCATTAGTGATTACATAACTGATGATCACTATCTGACTTATATTGCGAGCGTGTTTGTTGTCCTGATGAACCCTACAAGCTGTGCTACAGAACAGCTAGTGGACTGACCTTTTCATTGTTAGGTTGATTGATTTGTTCATATCCTCACTTCAAGATTTTTATGGTAGAGATTGTCTCAGCCAGTCAATATCAGTATTCACACATGGCCTTTCATTGCACTTTGAAAATTAGTTTACTGACCAACTGTCCAGTAATTCACATTTATTTATTGGCAAAGCCAATTTTTTTACCCCCATCTGTTGCATGGTGGGTGTTTATTTGTACTCGGCTGGTATTGTATCTACTCTTAAGTATTGTATGTGATGTATCATAATCTCTCTCATATCTCTTAATGAGTCGTCATGTCCATTTTATGCCACAGGAAACAGTCTTCCGTCAACTGCTCAAGAGACTGCAGAATGTCAAATCAACCCAGAATGTGATCAACTGCTGAGCCCAGCCCAACTCTTTTCTTCAAGAAACGTAGACTACTCTTCAAACCAACAGTACAAGACACTGACTATGATGCTGATCCGAGCGCATCAACTGAGATCACTGATCTCTCAGAGAACACGCCCACAGACCTCAATAGTGATGACGGCACAGGTAAACTGGGAAGTTATGTACTAATGTTTATTACACCCAACTGTAATTGTGTGCTTCAGCAGCACACTTTACCCTCTTACCCCTTATTATTCCACTTCTTCCACCTACATTTTGTCCTCTTACTCCTTTCACACCATTTAAGCTATCGACATTGTTCAAACTTTAAAATGTTCAGTGTTTTGCTGTAGTGTGCTTCTGTACAGATTTTTTATATTATTTTCTTTTTTTTTATCCCCATACAAATCATTTTGCTGTCTGAACAAATACGAGTACAAATTGTGGCCTCTGCACATATCTAATCTTTGCTTTGGTGTGACTCATCTCTTTTGAAGTTGATTCAGTGCAATGCCATGACTCCAGAAAAATGCAAGCCAGACTACAAAACCCTTCAGGAGTTGTGGAAGAAAACTAGACCGAACCAACAGGACGTGGGTCATCTCTTGGATCTTGAGTTTGAGTCAAGGAGAGCCTTTATAGACTCATGTTCACTCAAAGAAGAGGATAGGACCAAGACGGTCATAGAAGCATATCCCTGCTTCAGAGAGCACCAGCATGTGAGTAACTCTTACCATTCCTTGATAATTGTTGTCAATCAGCCTGCCAATGTAATTGAACACAAAGTTTAAGGGATAGTAACCCCATTTAAAAAGAGGATTCTATTATTTTGTATTATTCTTGCGTAATATCTTCATCATCCACCAAGATTTGAGAGTTCCTAAAAAGTCACTAACTGTAATAAAACAGACTGAAGGGCAGAGTGGGCATTCTTCTAGATTCTAGAGAAAGGTACAATAGGAATTGACTTGCTCAAATGTGCAAAATTACTAACACTGCAGTAGGGGTTCGCAACTGTTGTTGATCAATGGCTGCTCAGATTTTGAGCTATTATGAGAATTCCAAGAGTATAGAGGCATGGGACATTACATCTATGCCTAGTGATAGTCATGCTCATGCTCAATTGTTTGTCCTAAAGCCTTGGATACACTGCACAACTTTTAAAATCTTAACAGATTATGAAAAGACAGGCCATATTACAATAACTGACTGAATTTTGTAGATTTTATTGATTTTATTGTTTACCTGTTTCTGATGAACATTGCTAGTCTAAATGTTAAGCAGAATGGGAGTCTGAAATTGTTTGCTGTTTTCTCTGTATCAAAGTTCTATTGATTTTTACACTCAGGTTTTGGACGAGATGGGCCGAATTCTAGAGGCAGGCAACAAGAACTTCACTGACCAGATCAAAGCCAGATGGGAAAGCTTTTCTTTGGAGTGTGGAACAAGTCGTTGAAGCCACCAATGGGTCTGGATACATGTAAGCATAATGTATAGATAACACTGATAGGTTGGGGGTAACCATTTAATGGCCGCATGGGATGTGATTGTATTAGCTTATTTTCATTATTTTGATAGGACAGGATCTCCTTTTTGATGACTGAATTATGGCAAAATAGTAGTGGTCACTAGAGGGTTTAAACACTACTACCTTAGTCATGTATACAGGTGACCCTTATTGTTTTGCTTTCTCTTGTGCAACTGACAAGTGCTTTTTATATCCCCTGCACCGCTGCCCCCCCACTATCCAGCCAAACTTTCAGTTTGCTGATCCAATAACTGCAATCGTTTTTATTTCACTCTTTCATTTCGCTGTGCACATTCAATATCCCTAGGAGAACCGTTTGATTTTGGTGATCCCACGATCTCTGTCTTACTCATTCAGGCCAATTTTGAAAAAAAAGTAGCACCAGTTTATGTACAATTTCCCAAGGTGACATTAAGATTCATGTCGCTTCAGGGATACACACATACACTGTCGTTCACCAACAGCATAGTTTTTCCATGATTAGCTTATACTCCCTATACACAAACAAGCACAATGCATTTGATCATGTATCCATATTGTTTTTCAGCTGGACAAGCGATTGCTTTCATGAAGGCACTTCCCTCAATGTTTCCTTCCCCAACTGCCCCACCCAAAAAGCTTGGGTCAGCAAGTGAGGCACTGTTCCATGTTCTTGAGGTGAATCTGAGTCAGTATCAGTTAAACTGAAATAAAACGTGATATTCCCTGAGGTTTAATTTGTTTCTACTTTTTGTCTCTACTTTGTTGCTCTCAGCCATCCGAGGACCCCAATACATTTCTCCAGAAACGGCCCATCACCAGTCCAGTCATCTTGGTAGACTCGAGGTGTGTGTGGTACAGTGTGTAGGTGTGTGTGTGTGGTACAGTGTGTAGGTGTGTGTGTGGTACAGTGTGTGCGTAGATGCAGCGGACAGACAGGTCTCAGTTGGTTTGGTGTCCTCTGCTTACTTTTAATACTTGTAAATACAACTTTTGGCCCGTAATTTATTTTCCTCATTTCAGCGACCAGAGAGGGGGGGAGGGGGGATATATCCAGTCTCTGATAGTGTGACGTTATTATGAGAGTGCTCTCATACTTGTTTGATTCTGAAATTGAATATATATTTATATAAATATGTGTGTGTGTGTGTGTGTGTGTGTGTGTGTGTGTGTCCGCATCTGTAGCCTGGTATTGTCTCATTATACCGCACTGTCAATGAATCAAAGTAAATATATAAGTCATCATGAATGTAAGAGAATATTTTAATCTGATCTTGATTATAGAGTTTCTTATTGTTTCTTAGAATCTGTGATATTGCAAACATGCTTTGTATTTAAAAGTCAAAACTCCTCTGAAAGTTGAGGTCACAGGTCAAAAGCTTCTCCCCCTTTCCTGTGGGGGGAAGGGTCCAGGCCTGCCTGCATTTCGCGGGACAAACAGATTATTGTCCCACATCTGCTATTGATTAGGTAAACGCATGGCTCCGCGGCGCCTCTTCTCTTGTTGGTGCGTGCTGTGGTTTATTTGTGGTGAGAGATGGCTTGGTGGGTGCACAGGACGTGTGAAACCAAGTGATCTCCCCGGCTGTATTAATATACTTGTAAAATAAACTCTCAGTGCTTTGGCTAACGACGACCCAGACTCCTTCATTCCACCTCAACATTGCAACATCAGAAGTTTTACTTCACAATGAACACATCTGTCCATCAGACAGAGGGCTGCTGTGCCTCCTGTCATCATTAATGGACGTCTCTTTAAAATGACAGCTCAGAGGAGAGGAGTTCTCATTTCTCTAACCGCCTGCTGCTTCTCCTCCTCTCTCCTTGGTTCCCCTCCTCAGTCCTCCACTAGCATCTCCTGTGGGCGGGACTAAGACACGAGGATAGGAGTCGAGGAGGGGAATTAGAGAAATGAGATACGGCCTACATGTTTTTGTCATTTCCAGACAATTTAAGAGGTTTGTTAACCAAACAAACCATTGCCTTTCTAAAATACCTTCAACCCCATGTTTTGTGAATGCAGCCCTTATATGTGTACCTGCAGGATTTCCAGCAGGCCCAGTATAGCCGTCCTAACGTCCTCCATAGGAGACTCTCCTGTGGGGTCTCTCTCAGTGACCTCCAGGGGCCCTGAACTCACCAGAGAGCGGCTGGCCACCTGCACAGAGAGAAAACACTGAATAGACCTCATTGTGGCTGGAAGGAACTGAATTACCATAGCATTAAAAGTGAGACAGTGTGTGTGTGTGTGTGTGTGTGTGTGTGTGTACCTTCTCAATGATGTCCAGCAGGCTGCTGAAGTGGTGTGTGTTGCAGCCCTCTGCCAGGTCCACCAGCAGCTGGGTGGCCTGTTTTCGGACGGCAAGGTCCCGGTCTTCAGCTATCCCACTGAGCTGGGGGATCACTACCATCTCAATCAACTCGTCCTGGAACAAGGCAATAAAGTAAGAGAGTGAGAGACATTGAGAGATATTGTTGAATATTCACACATGAGTAAACAACAGCAAAACAGACATACAGTAAGAATTAAAGCACCACTGCACTTGATAGTTTATTTCAAATGTGTGTTTGCAGGTTCGTGTGTGTGTGCAGACCTCGTAAAGCTGTCGGTTGGTACTGAGAACGAAGGACAGGATATGAAGTACTTTGATCCTTATCACGCTGCGAGTCTCGTTTCTTTCAGGGAGACAGAAACATGACAGAGAGGGACAGAAACAAAATATTGTTCAGCAGAGATTAGATGAGAAAGGGATCAAGGTGGTGATAGCAGAGAGGGATACAATTGTTTATAGTTGTCATTAAACACACTGCATTATTTGGCTGTTATAGTACGACATCAATACAATATTAAAAAGACCAGATCATTTTGATATAGACTAAGAGGTAAACATTGAAATACAATTAGAATAGGAGGCAATAAGAGATAAAAACTATTCCATATAGCTAAATCTTGCCTTCGAGTCGATAATATCATCACCATCATCCCCGTTTGTGTCTTACCTGAAGAATTTCTCCATGAGGCGGTGAAGGCTCTGAATCCAGCCGTCCTTGGCTGGTTGAATAGACTGGGCTCTGTACGAGATGAGGGTCAGCACTGATGCATCCTGACACACAATATTAAGATTAGAAAGGTATCAGCAGTTAGATGACAAAAACACAATATGACACAGAAGGATGGAAACTCAAAAGCACTAACAGGTCTCTTGTCGGCACATTTCTCCACCAGACTGAAGAACTTCTCTGTGGAGCCGTGGTAACCGTTCTGCTCGTACAGCTCCTCCACTGTGGTCAGCAGCTCGTACACAATGGCCTTCAACTCCGCACTGCCTATTGTCTGTGAGGACACATGAGATGGGCCAGTTGGTGAACAAATAACTGGTATTTTATTGTTTGTTTGTGTGTGTGTGTGTGTGTGTGTGTGTGTGTGTGTGTGTGTGTACCTGGATCTGCTGCAGCAGCCGCTCTATGATGCCCAGCAGGATGTCCCATGTGACCACCTGCAGCTCTTTGCCGTACTTCTTGATCAGTCTGGTGATGGAGAGGACGATTTCATAGGACACCACCTCATTGGCACTCGACATGGCCTGAGTGACAGATACACAGAAACAGTTAACACAACTGATCCATCACATTATCAGGAATATACTTGTTTTTTTTTTCTTCTATTTGAAGAATCCTTAGAACTAGCTACAACTGATACAGTCACACTAGGTACTACTACTATGCAAACATGTCTATAGTATGACATAAACTAAAAACACATAGGAAGATCCAGCATATGCAAAAATGGTGTATTTGGCATTGAAGCATAAATATACATATTTCTTGGCAAAAAGTGATCGATGTTTGGCAAGAAAAGAGATTTGGAAATGTGGCATTTTTCATTTACATTTAAGAGACATAAGTAGTTAAATAATCTGTAATTCTGTCCACAGGACATTCATCTGCAACAATTTAGTTTGTTTCATATTTTAAGAAAAAAAAGACCAAACTAAACTAACAAAATGTATTCACTTTGAGTTCAGGAAAATCTTGAATTTTCTCAGTTTTGTGACATTTGTAGACCAAATGATTAAACAAATATTATTCAATTATTAAGAAATGAAAACCATAGGGCGCCCTAGATAATATCTTGTAGAACAAAAACAAAAATGTTTTCCCTGACATTTTTGCCACGTACAGTACGCATTGTTCTTGTTTTCATGTCATTTAAGCAATAAGATCAGCACATGCCTCATGGGGCAGATAGCACTGTATGAGCGTTACCTTGTAGAAAGATGGCAGAACGAGTGTAGGTGTGTTTTTCAGGGCGGGGAGTCTGTGTGCGCCCCACAGTGCCATCCCAACAAAGAACACGGCTCCTCTCAACAACGGGGCGTCCTCCATGTACACTCTGAGGGAGGGTGCAGGAAGTTAAAGGGACACAAAAAGCAGGAAAATAACATTCCCATAATGCACCATAAGTTCAGAAATACACTCTAATACCTCTCCTCCATTATCCGGCACATGGTGTAGATTGCACTGTGGCCGAGGTGAGTCCCCAACACCTTCCTCATCAACTGCAGGTGCACAATCACAGGCCGTTATGAATAATGCGCATTGCATCAGACAAAGGAGAAAGTGTGTGTGTGTGTGTGTGTGTTTGCTCTCTCACCTTCCAGCAGGATTCACAGAACTCCTTGACGTTGACAGTGCGACACAGTGTGATGATGAAGACAGTGAGAGAGTCTGAGGGCAGGCAGTTGTAACACACCACTGCATCCAGTACTTGTAGTGCCACCTAGACACAGCATACACAGACCACACACATACATACAACAAAACAAACTGAACAACTCTGAGCCTCATTCATTTATGAGTATGGTCACGCTACATTGTGCCGTTAATACGTTTTGATTGTGTTTCGTGTTTGTTTACAAAATAAATAAGATAGAGAGCACAGTAAATAACAAACACCTTACACCAGACTGCCAATTGGATGATTTTGTACTTCCATGTATTATATGTAGTTGTCCTGCTTTTACATACAAACCACTAAATGTGAAATGCTCAGGAATACCTCCTCAGCATGAATCAGCACTATCTGTTCATTGTTCATCTGATCATTGATTAAAGACGTGCATGGTAACACACCTCTCAGCTCTAAGAGATTTCACATCAAAACCTTTAGATAACTGGAGATGTAACTGTTACTGCAGTTCAACAACTCAGGCCCACAAACAAGCACTCTACCATTATTAGGGAATCAGAAACCAACTTGATTAAATAAGATTTCTATCTTGCGTGCCTCACACAAACAACGTTTTCGTGGTGATGAGTAAAGCTAACTGCGACCACACAATTTAAATATTTAAACATTTTTGATCATTCATCGTTTATTCCATGATTAAATGAGTATGTCTCCCAATGCTAAAAATAATGGATATTATTAACCCTTTTCTACCTACCTGATTTGCTGTTTATAATTTGGACATTGTTCATATTTGGGGGTATTCTCTTTGCTGTAAGATTCTAACAAGCCGTTGTAACAAAGAATACATTTGAACAAACACCCACCTCAATATCTGTTGAAGATGTAGTTCTATTGCACAGGAGACAGATTTTCCTACACAGCACAAGCAAACAAACGCATGTTAATACATTCATTTGATTGAAATGTGTTTATGTGTCTGGATCTCTGACTTACTGGACCATGACGGAGACGTTTTGGTCCAGGTAGCAGCTGTTGAACTTCACCAGATTTACAAGAACATGGAGAAAATCGGAGGTAAGACCTATGTCCATCCACAGGAGGACAAAGCGTGCTGGAGACAGGAGAGAACAGAGCGAGAGCAGGACATATTATGGAATATTACAGGTGAATAAGGTGTGTAACAGCCCAGTCATGCCTCAACAAATAATAATTGCAAGCATGACTACAAAGATGATTCAAATGAGTTAAAAGTATATATTTGATACACTGGAATCTAGATATTTAATCCAGAATCTTCATACTAACAACTCAATTCAGAACAAAGAGGATCATGCTGGTGAACCAGACAACAATGAGTGTAGGGTTTTACTCAGGATGAAAAACACACTGTGTGCCTGTGCTTATAAAGGCAGAGTGGTAAATGATGGGATGAATGCAGAGTGTGTACAAGATTATAGAGTTATTTTATATCTGAAAACGTTACTCAACCAATTGCAATAATGTAATAAAAAAAAAGCAACCTTATCAATTCTCAGGGACTTCAATAACAGCAAGTTGAAGTTATAAACTAAAATGAAAATGTTGCCTGCTCCATTTATTAAAATAAGTAGGGTTATTCTCTCGAAACTTAATAATACAAAAAAATAATCTGACTGTCCATCAGTAGCAGTTATTTGCGGGAAAAAAACTTCAATTTGCAAAGTTTTCAATTTGTCTAAGTTGTAAATTGTTTCACAATGTGAGATGTTAAGAATCTCCACCCTTACATGAACACATGTTTATCCCTCGTTTTCCCCCCATTGAAGTGCTTTAAAAAATGTCCAGGAAGTTTTACCTATATCTTCTTCCAGATAAGTGATGTCTTTCCCGTTCTCGGTTAAGGCCTTGAAGACTTCCAGCCTATCAGAGAGGTCCTCGTTGGAGGGTTGGTAGTCTCTGATCACGTTGAAAAAGAATGCTCTCAGAGGGCCGAGCCGCTCGCCCTTCACATTTCCAGGGAACCGATCATTAGGAAAAGTCCGGAACTAGATTCACATTTCATATTTGTGTGTGTTTATCCTGTCTATGTACCTGTCCCTGTATAATGGCCCTCAGCAGCTGCAGGACCGCATGTCTGGCCTCCAGTGGCTGCTCTGGAGTCAGCATGTCCTCCACAGCTTTCCATACAGCCTCCACAGCATGCTAAAAACAACACATGAAAACACAGAGTTACACACAGAAGGTGACATGTTGTGTTGTATCCAAAAATGTCAAACCAGGAGCAGACTCACATCCTCAAATTTCTTTGTTTTGGCGAGCTCACAGACATGGTTCATCATGCGGACGCGGGTGCTCAGACCGCAGTCTGGTTGGAGCTCCTGAAATACATCACAGGAGGAAAGGAATGAGGAAAGGTGTGATGCAAAACATGTACAAAAAACTAAGAGGATGCTGCGTTTAATTGTGTATGAACAGATCTGCAGTCTTCTGGTCTCTCCTGCACACCTTGATGATGTCCGTCGTGATGATGAACTCTGACGGTCGGGCGTCACTCTGTTTGCTGGGCGGCCGCGCGGTTCCCAGCCCAAAGATCCCCTTCACCTTGTCCTTGAGACTCTCTTTGCTCGGTTGTTTATTCATGGCCCAACCTGAAGGGGCAGTCCACCGCACAGGCTGGGACTGAGAGCTGCCTGGAGAAAGAGGAGCACACTTTTAGATGAAGCCGTTTTTATCAATGTGGATTATTACAGTGCAAAACCCAATACCCAAAGACCAGATAAAGAGCCACACTTCCTCTGAATTGACTTGATGTAGCATAATAGCAACAAGATGGATTGTCACATTCAAAGCCAAAACCCATTGCAATTATTAAATCCTTTAAGATGCTACATCACAATAAAATATGACCTGTAACTAGATTCAAACATCAGCAAGGAACATGACAACGAGTGAGCATTATGAAGTTCATCTACAGGGTTCATACACTTTTTCACCAATGATTTTCAATGACTTCTCCAGGACCTTTACCTAATTTTCCATGACCAAAACAATGACTCTTTCTCAGCGGTACCACTGAAAATGGTTTATTTTAACATGGAACAGGAGAATAAGGTCTGCATATGAAACATGTAGTGCCTATCTAAAACAAATCAAATAGTAGGCTGACTAGCTTCTACCCGCTAAAGCAACTCAAATCTCTCACCAGCAAAATACCTCGTCAGTTAAATGCCATTTTACCTTTCATTACTATACAGTATTTATCATCATTATAGTATTACTATTTTGGCGATTAGATAAAATATAAATTATATTTGATGCAACTTTAGTTACATTTCCATGACTTTTTCAAAAATATTGTTTTCCATAACTTTTCCAGGGCCTGGAATTAGCATTTTGAATTTCCATAACTTTTCCAGGTTTTGAATGACCGTAAGAACCCTGAATCTAGTGCTAATGACTTCACACTGAGGCCCATACTCAAAGAAACTAACCTTCTGTTGACTTATTGCAGCAAAGTCTCTGCACATTTAATTGTTTGACAGCATTTGCATACTCGAGTTCACCTGTAACACTATGCCCATATCTTCTTATGATTTGCTCACTGTTGGTGACAATCACATCCTCTTCTTTTATAAATCCTTGATATTTGGAAGCATAATTTGGATGTTATCCAAGTCATATTCTTATTATTGATGAAATTAGGTTTCTATGTGATTAATATTGGCAGTGTTTTTTAACCTTTAACCATTTTAACCTTTTCTCTCCTTCTAAGCCAGTCTGAAGTTTTATAGATTTAGCCGAGAGTTTAGCTGAGGTCATCAGACACCCAGATCTGGACACATTCTCTCATGATCTATCCAACATGCAGATGCCAAACTAAACAACGGACACATTCATTCAATATTTGGCATTTGGGATGTGAAGTAGCCTCTCTGATGTTCTCCAAGGAAAGGTTAATGCATCAGGTGTATTGGTTTTATTTGTATAATGTTGGCAGAGAGCATTTTCAGATGGGGTGATACACTGTGGGGAAAAAGGCATATTCAGAGTTTCTCTCAGTGTATTTATTACAGTTACTTGGACGGTTGTTTGTGTGTGTCCTTATGTTGGGGGCTGAAGCACAACGCATGTTCTATTGAAGCAAAGGATCAAAGACACCCTGTACCTCTGTGTGAATGTTTTGCCCTGGAGTGTGCATGTATAGGCAATATACATTAAGCACTCATTTAAGGGTTGCACAATATTATACTAAAACCAGTGTTTGAACTGAAGTGAAGTAACAATGAATGTAAGTGTATGCTGGTGATTAAAAGCTGTTACATCAGATTATATTACTTTCAGTAAAAATCCTACATGAGGAAAATAACGTTTGATCTATTGCTGATTCCCTTCTTAATTTTGATTTCTTTAAAGAACATTCTATAAAAGTTGACAATAATCAGGGTTGAATACTAAAAGATGTAATGCATTTTGAACAGGGTAACTAGCTAAGTGGTCTAAAGTAACCTTTCCAACAATGACTGGTGGCAACAACAAACTTTTTACATTTAAGTTGCATGGCTGAATCTACACTGAACAAAAATATAAAACGCAACTTTGCTCCCATTTTTCATGAAATGAACTCAAAGATCTAAAACATTTTCTAGGCCTGTGGACCAACATTCCACAGGCCACAATCAACTCTATGCGAAGGAGAAGTGTTGCACTGCGTGAGGCAAATGGTGGTCACACTAGATACTGACTGGTTTTCGCACCCCCCCCAGACCCCCCCAATAAAGCAAAACTGCACGTCTCAGAGTGGCCTTTTATTGTGGCCAGCCTAAGGCACACCTGTGCAATAATCATGCTGTCTAATCAGCATCTTGATATGCCACACCTGTGAGGTGGGATGGATTATCTCGGCAAAGGAGAAGTGCTCACTATCACAGATTTTTTCAGATTTGTGAACAATATTTGAGATAAATGGTTATTTTGTGTATAGAAAATGTTTTAGATCTTTGAGTTCATCTCATGAAAAATGGGAGCAAAAACAAAAGTGTTGCGTTTATATTTTTGTTCAGTGTAGATACCACTGGAGGCATGGTAGTAGTAGTAGTTTTTGTATGTAACTATGGTGGGAGCAGAGGCTTCTGTTACGCAGCAGTGAAGTTTGGAGCCTGTAAATGAGTAAACCAGGGGGGCAGGTTTGGAGAATATCTGCTGTCATGTGGACTTGACAGAGACAGAGGGGAGGGGAGCAGACAGACAACCACTGTTCTGTTTCACTTCAACAACCACATCAGTGAAAAATAACCTCCATCTAGAACAAATCATATATTTAACCACTTAGCGAAAACATGGTATAATCAGGAGAAATGCACAATGGCGCTACTGAACCGTTAGCTCTGCTTTTACATTCCCTGTCATGAGCTAGCATTCCTGTGAGGCATTCAAGGACTGGTTGCTTAGAAAACATCTCCCCCTCCTCTCACCTTAATGCAGAGGAGTCTCTCTCAGCTTCATAAGGCCGCAGCTTCGTCCATATGCAGCCAACAGAGCCGGCTGTGTCTCTGCATTGATAACACTCTGCAATTGCTGTTGGAAGCTTGTTCTCGTCCAGGCTCAGTCCTCCTCCACTTCACAACCGGATGACACACTAACGCTGTGACAGGGGCACTTCCTACAAAAACACGTTAGTTACTCTCGCTGCTGGGAAATGTAGTTCCAAGCAAGCTAAACACAAACTATGCTAAAGCTATTTTGTTAGCCTAGTTTTGTAAATTTGCAAATTACCGGACATTCACAAAATATTAGGACGCACCTCTATTTACCCAGTGGCTGCATAAGAAAGATGGTAAATAGCTGCCAGTGACGAGACACATGTTTCTTAAACTAAAACGGTTAACGAGTAGCTAGCTAAACATGCTAACAATGCTGAAGTTGGTTCCTCATTGGAGCCAGAAGCTGCACTGTCGCAAGGCTGCCTGCTAGTGGAGCTACATAATAGGTTTAAATTAAGTAAAAGGACTAAAAGGAATTTCTTTCAAAAGGAAACCTCATGAATACAATGTATTGGAGAGAAACACATTGTATATGCTAATAAACAGAAACCCTATTTTATTTACCTTTAACTACCTGATTGATTGGTAGGACTGAATGGCTTAATCAATGACATGTCATGTCATACTCCTGATCTGCTTAATGCTGACGATTTTAAGCGCATTTTTTTTATTAGGTTACACAGGTAACCAGGTAAGCAGGCATAGAGCCAAACACTTAAAGTCATGATTTTTAGTACACTAAATAAAACAACATAACTTGGTGAGAGATATGTGTAATTCTGTTCTAAATAAAACGTTTTTGTATTTAAATTAACAACTTTTATTATTAATACAATTATTTTGTCTTTCTTTCATTTATTTATTTACCGGGATTGTTTTTTTTCTGGTCCGCTCGTGACCAGAATCTACGAATGAGCAACCAACTTCAAGATCAACTAAATGCCTCAGGTCCGCTGGAAAACGAGTTTCTGTTATGTAGTCCGGACTTTAACTATGACCTCTCCTTATTTCATGCAGAGCAGACCTGTTATCACTCGGAGTGGTGATCAAAATGCAGCGTCTCTCAGGTCCAAACTCACCACCAGACGGAGGAATCAGGGTCCAGGTTCCTCTGTGGAGGTGAAGGTAGAGCCGGAGGAGGCGAGGATCTCGGAGCAAAGACCCTCCTCGGCCCCCTTATCCACGGGTAATGTTGACGTTAGTCTACACAGAAACGTGTGAACTCATTTAGAAATTCACCACAGTTCTTCTAGCTAGCTCCAAATACAGTTGTTAATGAGCAAAAGTTGGAGAAGTTGCAGATGTTGTTTTTACTTAATTAATCTGTTTACTTCTGCATCTGAACATTGGTTGACACAGCAGAGGCAAGGCAACCTCAACCTCATCTACATACTTGTTCCCATGTGGTATGTTTTCTTTATGTATTTCTGTGCTGGGTCAGATATTCTAAATCCTCTCTACCCTGTGCTCATTCTGGTGCTTGCCATCCAAAAACAGAAACAGACGCCTTGCCGTTGTCTTCACATAGCCGCAGGAGGAAACAGCTCAAAGTGGAATATGATGAGGATGAAGGTGTACCACCGGTGAAGACAGAACACTGGGAACCTCCCGACTGGAAGAAACAACTGGGATACATCCGTGAGATGAGGAGCAGCCGGGATGCACCTGTAGATAACATGGGGGCAGAGAAATGCTACGACTCAGACGCTACTGCTCATGTAGGTGTGGGTTTCTTTTTTCTCACATATTTCTAAGGTTCAGAAGCACTCATCTTGTTCCCTCTGTTGTCTTCTCAGGTCAGACGTTTCCAGGTGTTGGTTTCACTCATGCTGTCCAGTCAGACCAAGGACCAGGTGACCGCAGCAGCCATGAAGAGGCTCCGAGCTCACGGCTGCACTGCAGAAAGTATTCTTAATACTGATGATGAAGCACTGGGGAAACTCATCTACCCTGTCGGCTTCTGGAGGGTAATACAGAACTCAGTACTCTGTCTTACAGGAGCCACACAGTTCCTCCTTTTCACCCTGCATCTCTGATTAGTTGAATTGTTTTCTTACCCACCCCTTCTAGACTAAGGTGAAGTATCTGAAGCTGACATCGGCCATTCTGCAGAAAGAGTTTGGAGGGGACATCCCAGACAGCGTGCAGGGGCTGGTCCGCCTAACAGGAGTCGGACCTAAGATGGCTCATCTGGCTATGGACATCGCATGGGACCAGGTGTCCGGCATCGGTGGGGGGGGACACTCTTTCTTGATGCATGCACTTGCAAATCTGTGTGAATTCACATAGCTGGAAACTGAGGTTGATAAAGTTATAGCAGCATGGACATTTTTTATTTTTAATATAGTAAATTACCCAACACTGAATCAAATAGATGAAATCAGCTCCACCCTTCAACTACAGCAGTACATTTTAATCACACATAGTTGCATCAGTAATATTTATGTAATACAGAATAATACTAAAACACCACAAAAGGGGTATTTTGTTCAGCATTGTGGATTCCTTTGATACTAAAAGTACTTTTCACTGATGACACTTACATGGTTTTTCACAAGTAAGGTTTTGAATGCAGACATTTTACATTCTTTTTACAGTCTTTAGTAAAGGATCTGAATGCTTTTCCACCACTGCTTTTTCTTATAGAAGTGCAAATCAGTTTATGTGTGTGTGTGCCTAAATATACAGTTTTGTTTTGTTTAGGCGTGGACACACACGTGCATCGTATCTCTAACAGGCTGGGCTGGCTGAAGAAACCGAGCAAGAGCCCAGAGCAAACGCGCAAGGCCCTGGAGGAGTGGTTACCAAGGTAACAGCATGATTACTTCACTGCTGACCTGTACAACCTGATTAACACGGACCAACAGATCCATAAAGTCACCCAGACTGACCACATACTGTATAATGTATTTATATATCATCCATACTTATCCAGAACATTTTATGTTGTGTATTCTTTGTGATATGTCTCTATACTGTAGATATAGTATAGATTTGCTATTTTAATTTGATTAGGTTGTACTTTAATCCACCTTGCCGGAACACCCTGATGCTGTAACAAAATCATTTCCCAATTTGGGATGAATGAATGATCTATCTATCTCGCTATCATTTCCTCTGTTGATTGATGGGCACCCTTCACTATATGTTGTGCCTGTTTGTAAAAATCAATGAGTGAGCAGTTCAAAGTAACGTGTGATGTTCCTCTCTGCGGCAGGGAGCTGTGGAGTGAGATCAACTGGCTGCTGGTGGGTTTCGGGCAGCAGGTGTGCCTCCCCGTCAGGCCGCTCTGCTCCGTGTGTCTGAACCAGCACAGCTGTCCCTCCGCCCACAAGAGCTCTCCTACAAAAAGGCCTAAAGCTGCTTCCCCTTGCTCCCCTGATCCAACCTCTGCCTCCACAGTAAAGACTGAACCTGGACAAGAATCAGATGTTAAACATGAGAGGTTAAAGAAGGAGCCACTGCCCACACCTGTTTCCCCAAACGCACCGAAACGGAAGATAAAAACCAAGGTTAAATATTGATTTAGTCTTGTCTGAGCTGTGACCAAATATTGGACCAGAAAGATCAACTTAAACACAGACACACTGAGAACATTGATGTGGATATCAGAATGTGCGAGTTTAATATGACACTACAACTACTTCAAAGAGATAAACTATTTTTCTACTGCTGGTGCTACTTTATTATTATAAAAAATTCATAAATGATGTACTGAAATCATGTTCAAAGTTTGTCCTTCTATTTTTTTCTAATATGCCCAACAAAATGTAATTCAAATAAACACTGTAGAGATGTCATGGACTTTAAAAAGAAGATATAAATAAACACTTGTTTGGAATCATTCTTCACTGCAAGTTATAGGGATGGTTTAGCAGGAATATCATCAGGTGTGTGTTGGCTGGCTGCCATGCTTCACAGGGACATTTAAATAGAACCAAGCCATTGTTGATAATAGTTACACCCCTGTTTGTCTCGCTATATGACAAACTATCATCTGTGAAAATGAGCCTTACAGATAATGAAACACTGTCACATAGACAATGCTCATGTTTGTGGCAGGATTCAATGATAATAGTCATTCATTCACGCCTTAAATATAGATCTGATGTTTTTGTTAATAGCACATCAGCAGTGTTAAGGTGTGAAAGGAAGACGTGGAAAGTAAGAACATTTACTCAGTATAATTCAGAGGTCCTCATACTTGAATTTGATTATGCGTCATATTTCTACTTTAGTAAATTTCCTAGAGAAACAGTCATTTTCATTTAAATACATGTATTTAAGATCTATAATTTACTACTTTAGAAATGGAATTCATAGCCTATCATTTTAAGAATAATAACTATACAATAACAGTAAAAGTAAGCACTGTATTATGAGTATTTTTACCTTTTATACTACTATTTATAACCCTCCTAAGTATTGCTTTACTTGATTTATTCTTTCACCTCTGGCTGTAAGGGAAACTAAACTGCTGTTCTTAACACTTGCCTCGTGGAAGTCTCATATTCCCTGATCTAAATATCAACGACACACACCCTCAAACTGTCCTGAATAACCTGAGACACACCTTTGTAAATTGATGAATGAAAGCAAGCTATGAGTTTATATTTCATGAACCATATAATCCATGCGCAACCTGTTGATCTCATGTGGAGACAGCACAGCAGGGATAGATGGGGAGGATTTCCGCTCTCAGGTCACAGCCTCACCTCCACCACCATGGGGCAGACCTCCGCCTCTCTGGAGGGACTGCACCGGGAGCTAATGTCCTCGCGGCTGCGCTGCGTCGTCAGGTGTGCGCTGCAGGGGACATTAAGTAGTGCCATCTGCTGTAGACGCCTCTTTATTTTCGTACCGCAGGACAGGATTACACATGTCCAGTTGAGGAGGGGAATTAAGTGTTACGTGTGACGAAAATCTTTCTAATCTCTGATCTCTTGGATTATTCCTCCGATGGTCAGGATTTAGCCACTGGCAGCAGTTTTTGGACACAAATTTACGCACCAATTGTACGCGCTCATATTTTTCCCACCTGCATTTGCATGGTGGATTAACACTTTTAAGCCTTTTTTGTGATTTGTGCTCTTTTGTGGATTATTAATGTACTCGCATCATGCTAAAAGATGATGATCGTTTGTTCCCCAGAGCACGCAGCAGCCGTACATTGATTAAGAGCCAGAGACTTCCCACCGCGGTTGGCCCGAGCACCTGTTTATTCTCCTGAGACACTTTGACCTGTTTTCCTCTCTATTAACGCGCCGGTTGGGATGGAGAGCGAGCTGAGACCCAGGCTCTGTTTCCTGACCAAAGGAGAGCAGGGCTATGGGTTCCACCTGCATGGGGAGAGGAATAGAGGCGGGCAGTTCATCCGCAAAGTGGAGCCCGGCTCTTCTTCTGACATGGCCGGGCTGCGGCCAGGAGACCGGGTGGTGGAGGTGAACGGGGAGAATGTGGAGAACGAAGGCCACCATCAAGTGAGTGATGGCTCAATACTTCTTTTTTTTGGGATAACAGACAGGTACTTGCATAAAGAGAAGCCTGGAGAGGCGCTTTAAGTCTCTGAGGTACAAACAATGAGTTGTATACCTGTTAGACAACTTTTTACTTTGCCTGAGGAGAAGGAGGAGGCAGGAGGAGAAGTGGGGCAACTAAAATGGGTCAATGTGAGCTTTGTGTAATGGGAATCACTGGGTGTCTTTGTAACAGATGTAGGGAAAGTACTCCGATCTTGTACTTAAAAAAAGTACCTGTACAGGAATACTCTGTTACAAGTAAAAGTCGTGCAATCAAAATGTTACTCTAGTAAAAGTACAAAAGTATTAGCATCAAAATACACTTAAAGTACTCATCATACTGATCGGCTCATTTTAATAATTGATGCATTGATGTGTTATCAAAGCTGGTAAAGGTGAAGCTATACTTAGTAAGGGATTGTGAATTTATTCCAGGTGTGACTAAAGTCTTTTAAGTGTTGATTATATATTTTACATCATCAATCCAAATCTAAAGGTATTAAATCGATGTACTAAAATAACACAATTTACCTCTGAATTGTAGTGGAGAAGAAACATTAGCAAAACATTTAAATACTCAGTAAAGTATAAGCGGTGGTGTTAAGTAACTTAGTAGTACATTTACTCAAGTACTGTACTTAAGTAAAATGTTGAGGTACTTGTACTTTACTTGAGTATTTCCATTTTGTGTTCCCTTGTATCTTTATCCCATTACAATTCAGAGGTAAAAAACCACTTATTTTATACCTTTATTTACTGTAGTTTAATGATAAACAATAGGATAAACACTTAAAAAATACTTGAATACACATGGATTCAATTCACAATGAGTTTAAATAAGTTCCAACTTTACCAGCTATAATAAACACATTATATTTATGATTCTGAAATGGGCATAATGAGTACTTTTGTTACTTTAAGTATATTTTGATACCAATACTTTTGTACTTTTACTTAAAGGGATAGTGGAAATGGAACCTCAAATAGTTTCGTTTTAACTTATATACAAGCATAATTACGTACCAAAACAATCACACCTGATTAAAAATATATAATAATTGCCTTACGCATGTTAGAAGCACTTTATTGCAGCTTCCCCGAAGTTTTTTAGAAACGAAATGTTCGACTCAGCCAAACCGGAAGTGACGAAAACTTAGGAAGACGATACGATAACAAACCATGGCGTCTATGCAGAATGAACGTGGAAGGGCAAATATACCAGACAAAGAAGAAGGATTGTACGAGGTATCCAGTGATGATAGCGAGTCAGAAACATCCTCTCGGCTTTCCTACGAAAATGTCGTTTTAGGAACTGAATCTGAATCCGGTTCAGTAAGCGACGATGGTGACAATATCAGGGTTGCCAACTTTGGGTACCTGGCTGGAGTGAGATTTTTATATCATGGGTTTAATTACACATACGCACAAAATGACTGCTATCGTGTCAGCAGCGGGACCTTAGCATATATACAGGATATATATACAATATATACAAATACACAATATTGGACACAGACTATAAAGGACACACAGTTTCATTCACTAATGAAAGTCAAACACATGTTTGTTTCCACTGTTTTATTATGTGCCTGTCGCGATAAGAAATTAATTGACTTATCTTACGATAAATAAAAATGAACTCGATACATTTCCATTTACATGAGGATGTGACTAGCAGTTTGAAAGGATGTACTTGAATGATTATTATATATTATTATGTCAGTGGTCTAAAATGGTCATACAACGGTGCCGACAATAATTTCCGGGAAAATGTATCCAACAAAATTAATTATCGTGAGAGGCCTATGAAACACACACACAAATCTACAGATTTACTCCAAACTGCCAAATATATTAATTAACACACTCTCACTCTCATATACTCTTTAACTCTATTTTGGCCTAGAACAATAAGCAGCAGACTTTTACTTTTTTATCATTTCTACTGGATCTTAGATCTGCAGTTGCGGCTCCAGAGTATTTGTGTTGGGTAATCTATGGTAGGGCCCATACAGTGGTGGGGCTCAAGTCAGTATTTGCAATGTAATTACATACACGCTCCCCTTGACAGTGAAACGCCACGCGTGAGGGTTAGATTATTTCCCTGTCTCAATCCAAATCGAACTGTATGAAATAAAAAGGCACATTTGTCTTGTAGTAAATAAAAAGGGCGACCTGGAGCCAATCCTGCCATTTCCCCACAAATGAAAGAGTTAACATGCTGAAAACCCAACCCCTGCCGGGGGGTCTGGGGGGATTTTCCCCCAGGAGATTTTTTGAAATACTAACATAAAATACACATTCTGGTACTCTCTTGAGAAGAAAAATAAATAAATCTATTACTACACGACATATTTAAAAAAAATGAATGCCATTTTAGTTTTTTGTTACTTTGAAAGCTGAACCTGCTGCTCCTCACAGAGAGAAGAGGGAAGAGGCTGTGTGAATGACTTTACATTGTGGATAAGGGTGGATAGCCCCCATTGTTCTGTGTGTCAAAATGAAAGACAGCCCACACACCTATCAATCATCAAACCGTGGGGTCTTATTTCATTACGTGTTGATTTCTATCAACACGTAATGTTGTATCGATGTAGAGATGTACTACAGCAAAAGTATTCTCCGTCGGGACTTCCTGCAACAACATCACTCCGTTATCTTGATTCTGATTGGCCAGAAGACATTATCAAAGATGTTCTATTGAGAAGACGATCACTACGTGACAAAAGTTTTCAAAACCGTTTCTAGTCTTCGTTATTCTTGTTTTTGGCGTGAGAATAGTTTGGGCAGCGTGAGAGCGTGAGATTGAGAGTGAAAGCGTGTGTCACACGCCAGATGCGTGAGAGTTGGCAACCCTGCAATATTGAGCCAGACGATGGACCATTACGTCCTTATTTGTTCGAGCCCGAGCCCGAGGTGATGGTTCACGGCATGGGCAATGGCGAGGATGACCAGGACCAGGCGCCAGATGATGCACCCCTACGCACAAATAATCTTGACTGGTAGGTCCCTAAGCATAGCTCACGCATCTTAAGATCACCTGTAGCCTTTACAAATATTAATCATTGTTAACCAGTTAAGCCCGAAGGTCCCCCCAGTGGACCCCTCCCACAGTTTTTTTTCTCTCACATGTCTCATGGCTTCTTAACATTTATGAAACTATTAATGTTTCATACCCTTTTAAAGGTAAGAAACTCCGCTAACTGACAATAAGAACAATTGTTAGCTAGAAAAAACACAAGAGTAATACCAAGCCTTTGAATTAGCATTGAGCGAAACAATGCTAACTAATGCTAACGCTTTTTTACACACAACACACGGTAGAAATTCCCTTATTACTATCTTAACTGCACAAACAAGATATACGATTTAAAGCTGAGACTCCACAGATTCCACACATGTAATGTCATCACTGTAAGACCTCGAATTCCTGGAGCTATCAGCCAGAAAAGAGAAAGTAAACAACATCCGGTTCCAAAAATATTACAATAATTACGTCTTACCTTTTTTGATTTGTGATCAAAAGTTGTGTTCAACGGAATAAAAACGCATCTCAAGGTTAATCCAATGTCGTTGTGTCACCTAGAATTATTACGATACGCTATTCTCTGCATTTGCTGTCGCACTACAGCCATACAAAACACATCTATTCACCATAATAAAGGTCGGCTATTCACATGCAAATGCTATTGAATGTCCGCCATTGTTTGTGCCCGTCTTCCTATGCTCTCGTCATCACCCGAAGATTCCCGACGATTCCCGAAGTATTTCGTTTCATTGAGAGGGCGCAGTAAAATTGAAAATAAAATGAAACTAGGCGCATGAAATTAAAAAAAATTGTTTATTATGCTTATTTTTAATAAAAATACATAAGTTAAACCCAAAATTCGCGGATTTCCACTATCCCTTTAAGTAACAATTTGAATGCATGAGTAATCCTGCACTTTGGTACTTATGCTTAAATAAGTACAATATTTGAGTACTTCTTCCACCTCTGAGTACTCAAAGTATCTCAAACCTTTACTTAAGTACCGTACTTGAGTAAATGTAATTAGTTTACTTTACACCACTGCTCTTGCTAAAACTATGTCAGGTACAGGCCAGTTC